ACTTATTTTTTAAAAAGTCAATTGTATATCTAATAACATTAAGTGTTACAAATTCCATGAAATATTAAGTATTACACTGCAAAATAAAGCATTTCTGCAATTCAGAGTTAAAATAATTACAACAGATATTAGTTATTGTTAAATGCACAGTGATAATTTATTCAAATTGAATTCCAATTATTGACACAGCTAAGAGTTTGAACTTATTCCATAGGCATTACTAATGGCTGAATATAATTGATCAAGGAAGGATATATTAAAAATACTATTTGAGAGAGACAACTATAGATGAAATGTGTTTGCTGTATTTAAGAGAAGAGGCAGGCAAACTGAGATAGGCTGGTGATAGAAAAACTAAAAAAAAAAAAAGAGAAAGAAGCCTAAGGAAAAACCCCCAGTAGATTCCATGATGGATTGAATGCAAAGTGAAACCAGAGAAGGGGATAAAAAAGAAATGGATGCAAGTTCTCAGTCCTGAAATTAGCACATAAAAGTGTTTAGCAAATATGCCTTTCAGGAAAGAAATAATGCTCTGCTGTTGTCTCTGTTGCCTGGGGTGAGAAAGTTGTTTTGTTTGTTTCAAGGAACTTTGTTTTGTGCCTTTGTTTTGCTTGGTTTCTGTAGGCAAGGTTAAAGAAGATCATTTGGTTATTTTAATTTTAAAAGTGAATATCAATGAAATTCAAAGCCAAGTGGTTAACATGCAGAGTGAACTTTATGTGAGAAGTGAGAAGTGGGGAAAAGGACAATATAAATTTATTTAATTAATTTTTTCATTATTTGTTCAATGTTTTGTAAGACCCTGAAATAGATACACGAAAAAGGCATAGGTTGGTCTAAAATTAGTTTGGCCACGAGATTTAAAGATATGGAAATAAGGAATTCTTTGAAAGACACAATTGGAAATAAATCCTGGTTCTTGTGATACTATTTTAGGAAACAGAGATGCAGCTGAAATTTGTATTCATTTAGTCATCAGATATTTGTGGACCGCATGGTGAGCATGCAGTGAGATAGCAGTGGAACACAAATACCTTTAAGCCAGAGTCTCTGCAGTAGACAGCTTATTATCTAGTCATGAAGATGGGTATAAAGCCAGCCACCATCAGCCAGAATGTCATTTGGACAAAGCAGTGATGTGACTGGATATGTTATTGAGGCCTATTGCACAAGCTTCAGTATGGCCAGAAGGGTGAGGGAAGTATTGACAGACCAGAAACAAGTTCACTGGGAAACTAGCACAATAATTTAAGATGGGAAATAAGAGCTAGAACTAAGAAAGACGTAGTAGAAATAGCAGTAATTTATTCTAAATTGGAATCTGATGATATAACCACTTTAGAATAATTTTAATAAACCTTTTTATGTGAATAATTTTAACCAAGGCATGGTTTGGGTTAAGGAACATCTGTCTTTTCAGGTAAAAACTTATCAAAATTTAGACAAGGCCTAGGGAGAATGCTCAGATCTCAGAAATAATGCAAGTGTCAAAATATTGAACAGAAAGGGGCTTTTTTTCTTGGTACAGGGTAGAGATAGGTAAGTAACAATTATAACCTTTCAGGGGAAGGTGAGCCAGCATGGGGAAATGACCAGTAGGGAAAAGTATCCATGCTGGTCAGCCTGTTCTCAGGGTAAGCTCATAAAAAGGGCAGGTTCCACCTTTGAGGACAGCAGAATTCAGGGACCAGAGTAGCCTGGCTGTCATTTGGTGGAGACCAAGTAGGGGATAACAAAAGGGCAATTGACAACACTTGATCAAACATAAAGCAATAGATATGGATATAATTCAAAATCAGAAAAGCATAATGATATTTGCAATGACTTTGTAGTTTAATGACAAGAATGTTTTCTCTTTTATCTACAGGCTTGGTGAGAAGTCTTCTTTGCTCTCTCCTTATGATGATTTTTCTTACTCAAAAACCCTTTGACACATCTAGCAACATATTAACCTGCTTACAATAAATACATCCAGAGTGCTTCAGAAAGCATATTTTATAAAACAATTTAAAAAGTAGAGAGTATTTGTATTCTCTCAGGCATTAGATTGGAATTTAAAAACAAACTGGCCAATAAATAATTTTTCTGTGTACAAATTCCAGCTTAAAAAAATAGTATTACATGAACAACAATTTCTGGAGATCAATGATCAATAGTTGTAACATTGTAGTAATGACATTCTCTGGACTATTTGATTGTTTTCTGTTTTACTCTGTATGTTGAAGTTTCATAAAATTAAAAAAAAAAGCTTTCAATGCACAATAAATTAATCTATGAAGCATGTGTCGGATATCCCATTGTATTTATTTCCTAGCCCTGCAAAAACAAAGTACTATCCTAGTAACTGGTGGCTAAGAAATAAGAGCAGAGCCTTGCTCTTTGTGACAGCTCTAGAGTACAATTCATCCTTGACTCTTCCTAGTTCCTGACATTTACTGGCAATCCTGACATTTCTTGGTTTGTAAATGCATCACAGCAATCCCTGTCTCTGTTGTCACAAAGCCGTCTTCTCCCTCTTTGTATCTTCTTATAAAGACAATAGTCATATGAACCTGACACACACGTTGTCCCTGGATAACCTTGTCTTAACTAATTACATCTGCAATTCCCCATATTTCCAAGGAAGTTCAATTTCTGAGGTCTGGGGAGTTAAAACTTCAACGTATCTTTGGGGAAGGACACAATTGAATGCATGGCACTCCAAATGTTTTTGATTCTCGTTAACAGTTTTTGCAACTATTATATGCCAACACACATTATTTTTCAGTCTCTCAATATTTATAAATAAAAAACATATAATGTTGATTTATAATCTTCTGGGACAATGATTATGGAAGAAAGCAGGCCACAATAGAGCCAAATAGCAATTCAAAAGGCTATGAAATCATCTAGACAATCTCATTGTAACTGTGAAATATTCTGTATTAAAAGGAAGTCTAGTCTATGCAGTTTACATAAAACCACTAGAGTACTAAGCAAAATATTGTCTTTAATCATATTTGAAAGGAAAGCTAATTCGCTTTTAGCAGATGGCTGGAAAGAAAATCTCAGCTATGCAATGGTTGTAAATATTGGCAGCTAAAATCTACACATTACAGTGTATTACAACTTTTATGAGATTGAAAGTTTTAGTCAACAAAAGTCATGAAAACAGGGCTTCTCTTCCTGACAAAAAAATCAGTCAAAACTAAAGGCCAATCTCCATTCCACGAGGGCTCCCAGAGCAGAGAGAGAACTTTGGAACAACAGATATTGGAAGGGAACAGCGCAGAGTCCCAAGGCTCTGATGCTGAGGCAAGAATGTGAGAGTGAAGTTGGTAGAGTGCCCAGTTACATGTCCTGTGTGCTCTCTCCTGAATTGCCTTTTGACCTTCCAGTTCACACACTTTGGCCTGTAAAGGCGGCTGAAATTTAACAAATCCAAAATGGAACTCTGTGTTGTGCCTTCTTCCAGTTTCGATTAACTTTGTCCTGCATTTATCACAATAATCATTTACGTTTTTTTTCTCCTCTGCCCTCAATAGACTCTGCCTCTAGTATTAATATATAGCTATAGTTGATAAAAATATTATATTTGACTAGAGGCCTGATGCACAAAATTCGTGCAAGAGTAGGCCTTCCTTCCCCCACCTGCTGGCATTGGTTTCCCTCTGGCACCTGAGACCCGGGCTTCCCTCTGGCTGCCAGTAGGCACCTGGGACCTGGACTTCCCCTGCAGCCCCATCGTCCGGAAGGTCGTCTGGAAGGACATTTGGTCTAATTAGCATATTACACTTTTATTATTATAGATTAGCACCTCGTGTCACTATTTGTGACCACAGTGAGTATTACATTTTTCTTTCTATGTTTGGCTTATTTCAATTAGCATAATATTCTCATGGCCACCATCCATGTTGTTCCGAACAGCAGATTTCCTTCTGTTTGCAGGTGAATATTTTATTTTATGCATGTGTCACATTTTCTTGATCCTTTCATCTAGTAATGCGCATTTAAATTGTTGCTACATCTTGATTAGTGTGAATAATATTGCGGGAAACATGGCAGTGCGGGTATCACTTTGATTTTAATTCCTTTGGGTAAATACACAGAAGTTAAATTATTGCATCAGTGGCACTTCTATTTTTTATTTATTGAGAAACCTCCATAATGTTCTCCATCATAGCTGTACCAATTTGCTTTCTCCCGGTGCACCAGCGTTCACTTCTCTGCACAGCCTCATTAATGTTTATCTTTTGTTTGCTTTTTTGCATGTCTTGTCTTTTTTTATTATTTCTTTTTTTCTTTTTCACTTTTTTTTTTAGTAGTAGTAACCATCCTAGAGGGAATCTTACTGTGAGTGCTGCATCCATTTGCAGCTAGCGTTCAAGGTCTGGAGAAGGGGCTGCTCACAAACGGATACACTAGACAGGAAATATGAATTTAGAAGGCCTGGGGGAGCCAATCGGAAGCTTCTCTCTAGTGGAGAAGCTCCCTGACTTCTCAGTCCTCTTTGCTTTTATTTTATTTATTTTAAGTAGATTGTGATTAATGAACATATAATATTTAACTAAGAACACTGGCAATATATTGTGGTGGAGGTGTGGGGAGGGTAGATTATTCCACAAGAAGTTATAAGGTCTACTTTTGCCACTGTTGCTATGAAACATACTGTCAGTAAATCTGTAACTGTATTATTGGTTTTTCAAGAAGAAAACATACAGTTTATGTAACAAACACTTACATAGTACTTACTACAGTATGTGCCAGTCACTGGATAATTATATAATAGCTTTTCCAAAATTCATTCACCCACATGAGGACACAGTGACTAGTGAGAGAGAAACGGATTTCTGCTACTACAACCCTGCTCTTCTAAGTGGAGTGGACTATCATGGGAGGGTCCCTTTGTATTCATGGGTGCTCCAAGGGCTTGCACCACCAACACCCCTAACTTCATTCAATTTAGAGAAGATCACTTCACTTTTAATTGAAAGCCTTCTCAGTATGATTCTTAATTTTTTTTATGTGCCCCAGGTATGAAACAGCTCTGGTCACCAACACACACAGGCATCAAGCTAGGATGCACTGCTTTGCCCTTGACCAATATAAGAGCAACACCACCAAACAGGTGTCTCCTTGTCCACTGCCAGGGGTTCCCTTTGCTTTTATTTACTAGAATACACATTTGCCCTTTAGCAAAGCAAACAGGCATATCAATGGTAAAGTTTGGTAAACAGTAAAAGGATTATCAGGTTAGGGGATTGCCTTCATCCATTCAGCCAACAGCAATATTATGCTGATTTTCAGCCCTGCTGAATATCAAAGTCAATTAGCCTTCTAAAGGACTTCTGCATAATTATGCTCACTACTTATTGGTCTTAGCCTCCAGCATCTTACAACAGTAATTTTCAAGTTTCCCTCTCCCTTCCTTGGTGTTTTTTGTTGTCATATATTTTTAATTTTTCATACATTGAAACCCATACATACACTATTATTTTTATTTTAAACTATATCCATTTAAAATCTTGTAAGAGATAAATAATTATGATGCTTCCTATTTGCCCACATATTTGCTACTTTCAATGTGCTACCTTTGTGTATATAGAGATTTCTGAGTGGTATCTCTTTACTTCTGCCTAAAGGACATCCTTTAATATTTATGTAAGACACGTTTTCTGGTAATCAATATTTTCTGCTTTGTGAGTCTGAAGAAGTTATTTTGCGTTATTCTAGAGCAGCGGTTGTCAACCTGTGGATCGAGACCCCTTTGGGGGTCGAACGACCCTTTCACAGGGGTCGCCTAAGACCATCAGAAAACACATATATAATTACATATTGTTTTTGTGATTAATCACTATGCTTTAATTATGTTCAATTTGTAACAATGAAAATACATCCTGCATATCAGATATTTACATTACGATTCATAACAGTAGAAAAATTACAGTTATGAAGTAGCAACAAAAATAATTTTATGTTTGGGGGTCACCAACAACATGAGAAACTGTATTAAAGGGTCGCGGCATTAGAAAGGTTGAGAACCACTGTTCTAGAGTATATTTTCATTTGTTATAGAATGTGTATGCAAGATATTTTCCTTTTACTGGTTAAAATAGTTTTGTCACTATATTCTAGCTTGCATATTTTACAAAATCAAAATATCTTTCATATCTTTGCTCCTCTGTCTTTTATATATTTGCCCCTCTGTACATGACAGGTCTTTTTACCCATTGTAGTTTTTTTATTATTTTCTTGTGTGACTGCAAACAATTTGATTATAATGTTTCATTTCTTTTTTTCATGTTTTTGCACTTATCATTTGTTGAGCTTCTAAATCAATGGCTTACAATTTTCTTAACAATTGAAAACTTTTTAGACATTTATTTACTCAAATATTGTCCTACCTTCTCCTTATGTTCAGTACAATTTCACATGTATTAAACTAGAACCCACATTACTCCACTGAAGCTCTGCTCCTTAGTTCTGTTTGTGTAGATTTTTTTTCAGTTTCTTTTTCCATGTTAAAATTGGATAGATTTATTGGTGTATTTTCAAGTTTCCTAATCTTTTCTTTTTAGTAATCTTCACAATCCATTTATCATTTTTTTCTAAACATGCTATTAATTACATTTTGTGTACTTATCTCAGTCACTGTATTTTTCAAACATGCCCATGCTCTCCTTTAATTAAACATATAAAATATAGTCATAGTAAGGATTTTAACATTCTTATTTGCCTATTCTATCATTTCTGTCACTTCTGAGTCTGTTTATATGGATTCATAATTCTCTCTATTGTAAGTTCTGTTTTCCCTCTTTGTTTCATGCCTGATAATTTTGATTAGATAGCATACATTTATATTTCACTCTTTTTAGGGTGCTAGGTCTTTTTTTAAAAAAAAATTTGATGTATTATTGACTTATTTTCTGCTCAAAATGAAGTTACTTGTAAGCAATTTTGCACATTAAAGGCATGCAATCCAGGGCAGACTACCCTTTTATTTAAGTGAAATTTAACCAACTGGTAATGCATTCTAACAAACCATGTGAATGACAAGCCTTTTCCACTCTGGCTGTGATAACATGGTTTATTCTCAACCCTGTTTGAGATTCAGGGATCATACAACCTGTTCCTTTTTAATGTTCTTCCTCAGTCTCATTGCATCTCTTCACATTATTTGTAAGCCAAAAACTCAGAGGAAAATTAAGGAAAACCCTCTGTAGATTACCAGAATCCTTTGTCTATTCATTAAAATGCATCAACATTTCTTTTCCTTTTATTAATATTTTTTAAAATTCTGTTTTTATTGAATAAGGTATTGCATATGTGTCCTTATCCCTCATTCCTCCCTCCTCCCCACTCCTGTTCATGCCCTCAACTCCCTGGTGTCTATGTCCATTGGTTATGGTTATATGCATGCATACAAGTCCTTTGGTTGATCTCTTCCCCTTTAATTAACTGCTGCTACTTAAGCTTCAGTAAATGCCTTTAGGCTTGGACAGTGAGCAATAATTTAAATGGAATCTTCAGTTAAGACTACAATGAAAACCATATTTAAATAATCTAGTTAAATTTTATATTAATCATATTTTGGCTTATAGAATATTTAAAATTTTGCTACATGAATGTTGATTCATAAATCAGTTATCTGTGTAATTAGCATGTATATGGTTTTTTTAAATACTTATAAAATAAACTATAGAAAATATCCTGTGTATGAGGGCATATGCAGTCAGATATATAGACACTGAGCAGAAATCTGCACAAGCACAGATGGCCACATTGGCAACTCTTATGTTTTCCTTTCATTGATTGGTTGGGTAGGAAGTTCAGAAGCATCATTTCTGCTTGAGGAAGGACATATATTTTCAGGACTTTTATTTATGATTTGAGCTACTTTATGACAAATTTTCTTGTAGCAATTCCTCTGGAAAAACTCATGAATATTCTTTTCTTTATACTTTTCCACTTATAGTTATTGTCCCTCCTCTTTTGAGACTTCAGCTGAGATTACATTTGCTCTAAAATAGATTTAGAAACAGGATGGAGACCCAAGTCAACTCTGAGCCATAATGAAGTTTCTCCTTATATGAACCCCACCTCCCCCCCATTCCTAATATTTTCATTGCAATATTAAAGTTTTCTTCCCTATAATGTTTCATCTCCCTTAATTTATCTCTTACTTTTTCTGTATATCTCATTGTTTTTATCAGTTTTATAGAGGTACAATTGACACACATTACTGTATAAGTTTAAGATGTATGGCACATTGGTTTGACTTTCATATGTTATGAAATGATTGCAGCAATGTGTTTAGTTAGCATCCATTCTCTCATATAGATTCAATTATTAAAAAAGTAAAAATGTTTTGTTTCTCTAAGGAGAAATTGTGGGAGACTCTATTCTCAGTCTATATCTCCTAATTTATTTTTTTTATGTATGTATGTTGCTTAGATAAATGTAATCACTGTAAACATCTGTATGACTTGGGATTTTGTTTTTATTTTGAAATGGGAGATTTTTTGTTTACAAGTTCATTAAAGACTAAAAACTGTTTCTGTAAGGAAAAAGAAAAATATCCTCAGGTGTGGATTAACAAAAGAAAAAGAAGAAGAAAGAAAAGAGCACATGTTAAACTTTGTCAGTGGTTTGCTCCTCCCTATGAGTAAGTCTATGTGCTTCTTTCAGATAGATTTCTGTATGCGTTTCCTATGACAAATTACCACCAGCTTAGTGGCTCAGTGCAACACAAATTACTTATTTTACAGCTGGAAGTTGGAAGTCAAAACTGAGTTTCACAGGGCTGCATTCCATCTGAAAGCTCTACTGGAGAATTCATCTCCTTGCCTTGTCTAGCTTGTAGAAGCCATCAACATTCCTTGGCTGGTGAATGCTTCCTAAATCCTAGCCAATAGCCTAATTGCTCTTTCTTCCTCTGAGCTCTGTTTTCATCTTTATAATTTCTCTCTATATCTCCTAATTTAAATTGTTGGTCCAAACCTTATGTATGAGTAAAATTATACTAATAAAAGGGTAATATGCTAATTAGACCAGAAGTCTTCTAGACAAAGCCATGGTTGCGGGACCAAGGCAGAGGCAGTTAGGGGTGATCAGGCCAGCAGGGGAGAGCAGTTAGGGGGATCAGACTGGCAGGAGAGAGTAGTTAGGGTGATCAGGCCAGCAGGGGAGAGCAGTTAGGTGGATCAGGCCATCAGGGGAGCAGTTGAGGGCATCAGGCAGGCAGGCAGAGGTGGTTAGGGGTGATCAGGCAGGCAGGGGAGCAGTTAGGGACATCAGGCAGGCAGAGTGGTTAGGGGCGATCAGGCAGGCAGGCAGGTGAGTGGTTAGGAGCCAGTGGTCCCAGATTGCGAGAGGGGTCCCAGATTGGAAAGGGTGCAGGCCGGGCTGAGAGACACCCCCTGTGCATGAATTTCATGCACCGGGCCTCTAGTATAAGCATAAAAGGCCAACATGACAAAATATACAATGGCAAATCCAATACTAATAGCTGATATCTACTGAGTGCTTTAAATTTGTCAACCACAGTTCTCCACCCTTTCTTATATTGCCTAGTTTCATCCTTACATAAACCTGTGCAATTAATCAATGTATAGATGGTACAAGCAATGCACAGAGAGTTTAAATAAAATGTCATGATTCCAACCCAGATGTCCAGCCCTTCCTACAAAACACTCCACTATTGAGGCTACACTGCACATAAATGTGAGTTGGAAATTGATTTGTCAGGGTGATTTTTACTTTTTAATGGCATTAGTCCCACAACTTCATCCTTGTCTTTAGTTTGGTTTTCCTGATAATGGAGAGGGATCAGGCAACTTTCCTAAACAAACTTATGTGAGAAAAATAATAACATGATTTATATAAATAAGATCTGGGTTGCAGTTATATTTTCTGAATAGGAATATTCACTTTTCTGTTATTCATTTATTTTATTCTAGTGGCCCGGTGCACTTTATAATAAAAGTGTCAACCAAATTCATGATAGACAATGACAGATGAAAACACACGCATGCAATTGGCGCCAGCGAGAGCTTTCTATGTATAGACAAACTTGCTTAATTAGACCTGCTTTCTGATTTTTCCAGCCCAGTGAAGCACCCCAACTTCTCTTTATGGTAATTGTCAGCAACATAG